GCCTGCTGACAAGAATTACTTTATTCAGTCAGGATATAAACGGGACTTGAAATGATTGTGAAAACAAGAAGGGGAGGAAAGTTTCTCCGCCGGCAATCCGAGAATGATATTCAACGAATTTGACGGATCACGTTTTACGGCTGATTCGATTAATTCACAATTATATCCGTCCCCCGGGTATCATATCGATTTCGCCGTTCTGATACTCTCGCTTCGCTGCCCCTTATTTCACCCCGACCCGGTCCGCTCGGTTCTAGTCGAATTTTAATTAATTCCGGAATTATTAATCCGGTCCGGGCTAGCTGACAACTTTCACCTGGCTATTTTCGAGGGAAATAATTGAAAAAGTTCCTCATTGTGGGAAATCATTCCTGGTGTAAGATGTTCATTACAGATCCAGAATCTCGATAAGAGAATTAGCTTGTTCACTAGAGACGTGCATAAGAAATAATGACTCAGACTTTAAAATTTATTTTGATATTCCTTAAAAGAATTACATTTTTCATTTGCATCTTTAATTAAAACGACAATAAACTATTATCAATCATTTATGGCTTTAATTTCATTTCTGATGGAGCGCATCAATTTTCTATAAATCCTAGACTCATGCTCGTCCGATGCGCGAGAATAATCGAAAAAGTTTGACGGTCGGGTCCAGGTGAACGTATTAACATCCTACCATACGTCGTAGTGAATCCCGGTTCGTTGCGTGCACACAATACACACGCCTGGCTCAAAGGCTGTTCGATATTTACGGACAAGTCGATGGACGCAAAGCTTGGAAGTTGGCATAGGGATAAAGACGGATAGAGAGACCGAGGAAATTTTAATGGAGAGAAATTCAAACATAGCGACAGGCTCGGTATGCGGAATTTCGAACAGCGATAGGAAGATCGATAGGAAGAAACTGGGAGTTCCGAAGGAAACTTGTAACTGAGTGCTGCGATTTATGAACGGTAGAAGAAACTTCGAGATTTCATTTCATAAATTGTTTAATTGGGAATGGGAGTACTAATATGCTCAGTATTTTTATGCAAACTCAAGCAGATTTAAAATAAAGTCGAGCCAGGTTTGATAAAATCCTGAAATAATTGCTTAATGCTAATTTGATGTAAGAGTATCTTAATCCCACTTTTTTTTTTATCAACTATCCGGCAATTTATGAACGGCAGTGTGCATACGCACGGGTTGTAACGTTTCGCATGATGTCGGAGCACGTGAGGGGCCTTTGAAAGATCTCTTCGGACAGATTAAGTAAACACGAGCACCTGGCTGACAGGGTTTCAGGATAACTAAGTGCNTATTATCAATCATTTATGGCTTTAATTTCATTTCCGATGGAGCGCATCAATTTTCTATAAATCCTAGACTCATGCTCGTCCGATGCGCGAGAATAATCGAAAAAGTTTGACGGTCGGGTCCAGGTGAACGTATTAACATCCTACCATACGTCGTAGTGAATCCCGGTTCGTTGCGTGCACACAATACACACGCCTGGCTCAAAGGCTGTTCGATATTTACGGACAAGTCGATGGACGCAAAGCTTGGAAGTTGGCATAGGGATAAAGACGGATAGAGAGACCGAGGAAATTTTAATGGAGAGAAATTCAAACATAGCGACAGGCTCGGTATGCGGAATTTCGAACAGCGATAGGAAGATCGATAGGAAGAAACTGGGAGTTCCGAAGGAAACTTGTAACTGAGTGCTGCGATTTATGAACGGTAGAAGAAACTTCGAGATTTCATTTCATAAATTGTTTAATTGGGAATGGGAGTACTAATATGCTCAGTATTTTTATGCAAACTCAAGCAGATTTAAAATAAAGTCGAGCCAGGTTTGATAAAATCCTGAAATAATTGCTTAATGCTAATTTGATGTAAGAGTATCTTAATCCCACTTTTTTTTTTATCAACTATCCGGCAATTTATGAACGGCAGTGTGCATACGCACGGGTTGTAACGTTTCGCATGATGTCGGAGCACGTGAGGGGCCTTTGAAAGATCTCTTCGGACAGATTAAGTAAACACGAGCACCTGGCTGACAGGGTTTCAGGATAACTAAGTGCTCAAGCCTCTTCGTTAAAAACTCGAGGGGCAACGTGGTTAAGTGAATTAGGAAGGCGCAGGGCCAGACGCCCTTTTAGCGCGGCCATTTACCTTCGCCAATTTTCCCTCCCCGCGTGTGTATGTGCGACTCGTTGTTGTTAGCTGGTAAAAAAGATGGTGATGAAGGCGTTAAGAAAGCTTAATAACTATGAGGCTCTTCCGCCGTCGGGAAAAGGGTGCAATAAAAATAAATTTTAGTATTTTAAGAGATTGTTTATGTTCCCCTTCAAGTTCATTATGAGCTTCACTTAAAAATGAATTAGTTATTAGTGGATATTCGTATTGAACATTGAAATATCTAAACTTAATTTGGTCGTTACTCCATGTGTGTGAAATACTTCAAAACAAAACGGGATTTCAAATATGCTGCGTTTCTTCTAATAGATACGTATAGAGTTAAAACCATATACATTCTCGTCGATATAAAAGCAACACGTTCTGTAGTATAACACAAAAATGCTTAACGCGAATGGTACGATCATATAAAATGAACGCGAATGCGGTGGAGCGGTTGCAACGGAGTAGGTTTACGCATCATTAGGTTGCACGCCACTTTAGACGGGTCAACAGCAGCACCCCCGAAAGCAACACCTTGCCATAAAAGGCCCGTGGAGAGGTTCGCGCGCAACGCAAACTCGTTCCAATCGTGTACCACCGGCAAACAGTTGCGACACGGCTTATTAGGCCTACTCTGAATAATTGAGCACCGCGTTAATTAACTCGACTTCTCGCGCCCCCTCGAATTAAACATCCGTGCCAGGGGGTCGTGGTGGCCGACCAACAAAACCGTTTATGCTCAAAGCTGAACTACCCTGCTTTTTCGATTACTTTCGTCTGATCATTGTTACCGTGCTTTTACCAAAGACACCAAATCGATTAAAACCGAATTTATTTCAATTTTCATATTTTCAACAGAAGAACGAGAACAATCAATTTGAGAAACTGATAAGTACTACGTAGCACATAATTCTCAGTGTTGATGTATTTTTCATTTCTTAAAACCACGATTTCATTTCGATTGAATGATAAAAAATTGCACCAATGCAAATATCGAAGTACTTCACCAGCCTTTGTCACGTAGCTTCCTTAATGCTCCCTTGCTGGCAAAGCTTCCTTCGTATAAAACACACAAGAGAGGAAGCACCCAAAAACAAAAACCACCACCGATGTGAACCTGTTCCCTACTCAAACAAATCGGTACCAGGATTTCCTCTGAAGCTCCCAGCCGTGCTCTCCTCAAAGGCTGGTAAACGAGGACGTGGTAGTAGGGTATAGTACAGGGTGTCTCATAGGAAGTTGCTGAAAGGAGCTGCTAATTTCATATGCACGCAATCAATGAAAACATTTAAATAGGTTCTTGGGTAAATGATTGCAATTTTAAATAATTATGTATGCATGTTCATCGCAGACGTTTTTTAACACCTCATCGTTAAATTTTGTAAATCGTTTTTTAATTTTATTTATTCCTCTAAGCAATCTCAGGTAAGTAATGATTTCTTGAACACTGTACGTCAGTAAAAGAAGACGGTTTACTCTTAGCAACTTCCAATGGAACAGCCTGTACGACAGGGGATGAGAACGTTTCGAAACGAGTGGGAAAGAAGTTGGAATCTTGCTGGTCGAAGGGCCGGGAGTTTGACTTGTAGAGTGCTAATATTAAAGTTGCTCGTCGAGGGTCGGCCATCGGTCTCCATCGAGAGAGCAGAAACGCGGGGGGTAGAAAGAAAGGCTCTACCCCACCCGCGATTAGATTAGAATTTGTTAGGGGTGTCGGCCGGTAACTTCGTCAGAGGTACGCCTGTCAGTTTTGTTTCATCGCTGCCGGCAGCTTTTCGAGCGAAACTTTCTCGCGCTGGAAATTCTGCTCCGAGACACCGCGTCGTCGGGCGGAAACTTTTATGGCTGAATACCGACTTATGAGGGACGACAAGCACCGCGGGTGTGAGACTGAATTAGCCCTGGCACCGGCTCTAAATACGCCAAGCCTCTTTCCTCCATCTCTTTCTTTTTATCACCCCTTTCCGGAATTTTGCTTTAGGTCTCATTCGACTTACGACGTTGGCGCACATAAAAAATCGTTCTATTTTTCCCAGTCGAGAATCATGTATTTAGTTTCTTCTCAATATCTACTGTGACGAAAGGTTTCTAGTCGCTTAATAATGAAACCTCTCATCGTTTCTTTGAGTAAACAACAAATTGCGTGTTTATCTCTAAATGCTGATAGAGCTTCTCTATCGAAACTGCGTCACGGTCGGGCGAGCAACTACCGCGAAAATCAACAGTGTCGCGTTGAAACAATGTCAAGAATCATGCTTCTCTGCAGGAGCGAGTACCTGTCGCGAAAATCAACATGAAGCATTCCGAGCACGAGGCAGCGTAGCGTCGTGCATTCTGCTCGATTCAATTCACTCCACGGGGAATTGAGTTCGCGCAGCATCTTGCCGGCTGCTTAGACGCCGAAAACAAGAAGGGTGAGAAGAAACTCGAACGTTCGTAGACCAGAGATTCAGGAACACTCGGGGTTCTTCGAGCGTTGCATCAACGGGAACGGATTAGAATTAATTTGTTGATGGTGTCGCGTCTAAACTCGGTCGGGAAACACGGTAGGCCTGTTCTAATTGCCACCGCACACGGAAACCGCTCGTGGTCCCCATTAGCACCAACCAATGCAACTGATAGTGGAAACGAAATGCTTCCATTAGCCTTCGCTTGAATCGTTCTTTCGAACGCGACTCCAAAGACTACTTAGAATCACCTCACGTCTGATGACTCGTCGTAACATTATAATTTAGCACATATTATTTCTGTACTAACTAAAAGTACGAAATCACGTTTCTAAATCACATTTCATGTAGTTCTGTAATATTTTTCAAAGAAAATATATCGTTACTCACCGTGCCTGCTCTTCGACGAGTCGACCCGGAGAATTCCCTCGCTCTGAATTTGATCCTTTCCATTTGTTACGCGACAAGTGTAGAACCCGACGTCCGAGACATCCAAGTTGATGATCTTTAGACGGCTCCCGGCGATGTTCTTCGCGGCGTGTTCATGCGCCTGAGGAACAAAAAAGTCCCGTGCTTTTTACTCCGTCCATAAAACGCGTCGTTCAGCTTTTAGTACGTTTTATATCCTCTAAACGCTTGCAATATACAATGGCTCACGCACAGTTTCATATTTCACGCGGCAGGCTTTACAACAAACAGTAGATATCTGACAGTACTAGAAAAATCAGCAGTCGTAGATCACAAATAGTACACAGATTTTTATGCAAAATAAAACTTTTATGATATTTAGTAACGACGTCCCTTTAATCTTTTCAACATGACGGCATTCTACTACTGGTACTTGCATTTATTTTTTACGTTTTTCACATACCTAATTTTGCTATAAATGCATAAAAGCCGCGGTCCAATTATAGGAAATAATATACCTGCGCATGTATCTTCTTAATAGTGATCTTGGGCCGTCTCTCCTCGAGGGGTGCCTCGTTCTTGAACCATTTAATTTTAGTTGGCGGTGGATCGCCGACTACCTCGCATCTCATGTGAGCCCACTTCGCCGGCGTCCTTAGTAATGTTACTTAGAGTGCGTATGAATTTTAACGTGCCACTCTTCGCTCCAGACACGGGCTCCATGTCGGTTCTGCAAAATAAGAGAGACAAATATTATTAAAAGGCATGCATACGTTCCACAGTACTTGTATAATGAAACAATTCTATCTGCGTTACATTTTCTACATTCATATTATATATATATCTTGCATAAAAATTTGCATAAAATCCTGAAATTGATTGTAAAAAACGTTTGATGGTGCAAACTTGTGGAGCACCCGTTGGACGATGCTCATTGAAATGTACGTGAGCAACACGTTGTCACGAGAAATTGGCGAGGGAACATCTCGGTACACGGGTTCAATTTTTTATCGAAGCGGTTTACATGCGCCATTTAGCATAATTACAAGGACCGCGGGGCGTCGCGCATGAAAATTCAACGATCATTACGCCTCGTGTTTAGATCTTTACAACGTGTAAAAGTGGCTTCCGGCGGGAAAATATTTTTGCATCCCCGCGTTCGCTGGGAATGGGAAATTTTGTTATGACACCGGTTACACCTGCGCGTTACACCATGTCGCGCCTGTGTCGACGTTTTATTAAAGCCGACGGTGAATCGCACCGATTTCAATCATGTAGAATGTAGAGTTTGAACACACGTTACGTATAGAAATATAATTGTTTAATTTCCATTCTCAAACGAATGGCGAATGAACGAAATTAATGAATTGTACCAAAGGAATCTGAACAACAAATTCTAGCTTTAGTATAAATTATAATCATAATAAAAGAGATTAAATTAATAGAATTCTAAATAGCTAATAAATTGATAGAAAGTATTTATTACTTCTCAAGATCCGCGACTGTACTGAACCCGACGCACCATAAAGATTAGAAACAAAAGTCGCAACGAAACGTAGCGCGGGCTAAATAAAATAAAATAAAATACAATAGTTCAATCTCTTGGAGCACGGGTTCTCCATTATATTCCGCGCGTTCAAAATTCGATTCAGTTGAGCCCATTGGCATAACGCGGACCGGCAAATTTCGCGACGAGGCGAAGCGAGGGTAAATTTAATCCGGCTCCAATAACCGAGACACAAAATGCACTCTATCCGCCCACTCTCCTCCACCACCCCCCTGATTCTTCCATTCGCTGCGTTTAAATCATAGTTGGCCTAACCGTGTCAACGAGATGGAATTGATTCATTGTCCCATACGTCGTAAAAGAAATGAAATAAAGGGCAATGTGCCCGAGTAACAAGGTACGCCACTTGTATCATCGTTGCATCCCACGTATCATTGCAAAACATACATTTTACTGAAACAATTCGTAATTTATTTTATCATTATACACACGATTATTTCGTATGATTTTATAAATCATTCGTCATGTAATTTATGTATTGTACGATGATTCAACGCTTGCTCGTTTACAATGACACGTAACGATGATACGGGGTACGTTTCAAGTGGCTATAGATACAGAGCGTGAACAAGGCCCGTGTGTCCCTGATAGATTTTTATGCGACGGACGATCCCACGTCTTAGATGCCCCGAGGGCAACCAACGTTTCCACCCACATGCAGATCGATCTCTCTCCCGAGCCACTTCGTGCAGGCTCGTTGCTAACAATGTAACTTTAAAACGGACGGGATCATTAAAGGAGACGAGTTTTCGGCCCGGCAGCCGGGACCTCGCTCCACGGTTGAAAGTTTCGCCCGATTGACGAAGGAATCTTGATTATGCCAATAATGCCGAGCCGTGAGGGAGGGACGCCTGCTGCACGACGCATACTTGTAGAAAGTCTGCGAGCTGTTTTCTTCGCCGGTTCATGTTTCGTCTCATTTAATAGTTTAGTCTTTTTGAGTCATTAGCGGGTTTTCTCGTCGTACAAACATAGAAAGTTTCTTCCAAATAAATCAAATAAAGGAACATAATAATAATGATACTCGTCCAGATTTGTATTATATCAATTATTTTGTTAAACATTGCATCGATCAAAAAAATATGACATATGTTTCAGACTTTATTTCGCATTACGTGTTTTATATTTCACTCGATATTACATTTTGTATTCTATTCGATATTACTTTTCACATTCATATATTACATTTGATATTTCACGTTATACTCGGTCGTTCACTTGGAAGTGTTGTATGCCTGTCAAAACTTTTGTTTGTTACAACAAAGAAAAACTGTTAATTTCACGGCGAGACAAAGCATGCACACAGAGAAGTTGGCTAAAGTATGTACAGCGAGGCTCTCGCAAGTTTGTATTCGTTAAATTCTTCTAAGGGTTCTTCAAAAGTTTGCAGCCCCGAAATTAATTACATCCTGCAAGAACCGCTAATTTCATAATTCACGGGGTCGTACAGGACCTTGAATACGTTCAAGGTAGCGTTGAAGTCAATTTAAACTTTTCTCAGCGCGACGTTCTGAATTTTATAAGAATCCTTGCCGAGTTCAAGTTCACTCGACGCGTGCTTTACATCTCATTAAAATTACTATTACCTTTATCGTCTCTTAAGAAAGATCACTCGCAGCTATTTCTGCATTTCTCAAAATATCCATACTTCCTCGCTCTGCGTGAACTTTATATTCCATTTCGATTGTTTCGCTATTTTCCGAGTCGAATCTATCGTCGAATGAATTACGAAAGGAATTCAAGATTCTTTGGGCCGTGAAAAAGGCGAGATATTGGGTCAGTCCATTTCGAGAAACAGTGGCGGTAAATAGGCCGACGATCGTATATCACCGGCGATAAGGGGAAGTCCGCAGGTCTGGGCAATCCGTTATTTCGCGTCGCGAGGGGGTGAGAAGAATAGGGTGCCAGTCCATTAACATATTCATACTTAATATTCCAGTCGCAGGCGTTGCGCGACAACGTCCGCCGCCCGTGCCCGGATTTATATTGCTCTAATGTACGCGATTACTTTATCCCCCTTAATCCCTCCCTCCTTCAGCGCGTGTGTCCACATCGGACGGAAGTCACGAATTGATTGCAACTTCCACGACCAACTTGCATCCCCCCGTGAGCTCTTTCTCTCTCTACATTATCATTCGAGAGTGTCTTCAAGAAGTGGAAGATTGAACGAGAGATTATATGCGAAGATTAGGGTTGAAGATTGAAAGATATTATTCTAGTCGTTTACTGCACCGAGTACCGTCGTTTTATTATGGTCGATTCAATCTATAATCCATGCAGTATTGCCTCTTTAAATTATCATACTTTGATGCAGAATTAATTATTACAAAGGTAAAACTATTTAATAATGCGCATGCTACGAAGATCGAGAGATAATGAGATAGAGAGACAGAGAGAGAGAGAGAGAGAGAGAGAGAGAGAGAGAGAGAGAGAGAGTAAACTGGAGTTTAATTAATCGCAAGACAAAGATTTCTGAACCGTAGTTCACGTTTTCCAAGTTAGACTTTGTGCGTCTGACGTGCGTGCAATTTGAAAGCCCCTTTACCCGATCGTCGCTTATTGTTCTGCCAATGAAGAAGCTCGAATATAGAGTGTCTTCAGACACGAGATGAAACTCCGTTGTAAATTCTGACAGCGACTTGTAAACCGAACAGAATATGTTGTACAAGAAAGGTTTGATGTATTTTTCTTTTAATTTCAATATTTAACAATTTAAGTATGATTAATCGGCTATCTCGATATGTACCGAAATGAATTAACATGCATAAAATTCTTATCGATTCACATCGTATATTTTCCTTGAATAAGCGTTGAAACCCGAGGAAGAGAATTGTTTCCCAGCTTCGCAGTAAAATTTTCAGGCGTTTATCGGGTGAGATTCTCGGCCGTGGGGATCGTGCGTCACCGCAGCGGCTGATAAACGCCGCGCGACCTCCTCAAAATGCATAGAATTACTTTGCATGGTAAACACACGTAGGGTGCCTAGACCGGCTCTTTTTCGAGCCCCGCCCAACACCCGGCGACGAGTTTCGCGGACGCCGTTAATTTCGTGTCCCCGTGTCTCGTTTGAACGTCCGAAAACCGTCGTCGAAACGTCGCGCGTCACGTCGTTAACGCACGCACCGGTGATTTCAATTTTACCAAAACTTCCCGCGGGAAACTTTTTAAGCGTACCCGTGACTCTCTCGCGTCCGTGCCACCGTAATTTGATAATCCCTTAATGGCAGCGTATAAAATCGACCGAGATGAGAGGAGCCAACGGAGAAAAAAGTCCTTGAATCGCTGACGTAGTCGGCTGATGCGATTAAATAAAAAACAACCGGGTTATTCCTTTTTTGTTAATCCCGTCGATTGCTGAATGCAGTAAGTGTGATTTCAATGCACGATAAATACGAGAAAGCTTTATATCTCAAGTCTATCAAGTATTTTTATTCTCCAAAAATAGAAACACCGCGTTTTACTCTGTTACGAGATCAGACCCATGTATTCATATTTTTGTTCAAATCTCTTGTAAATGGATAATAATTTATAGGCTGACTAGTCCTTCTCGAGTCCTACGTACATCAGTAAACGCATAATTCTCGAGGTTTCAATGGAGTGTCCATTGAACAATCAAGGATCATGTTCGCCGCCAGGCTCACTATTCCTGGCCGAATCGTCAACAATTTGTAGTGAAGGCCGCCGCGGGCCACAGGTGCACCGGAACTTACCGATGACTTACTGATACTAGCTTGATGTATATTCAATAATCAACCAAGGGTAGGGTTAGTTACCCCGAAACGGCTTGAAGCCGGCGATCTGGGACCGGCGTACAATCACGTTCGAGCGTGTAAACACGAGTGGCCGCGCGTGTCCGTGCATCGAACGCCGGACACGCACCGGCCGTGACTGTGACTATGGCAAACGCGGTGATTGCCTTCGCGGTGGCGACGTGTGGGTGGCTTCCGGTTTGCCTAGCCACGTGCTCCACTTGCTGCTTAAATAGTATCCGTACATAGCTTGGTTTTAATGCAAGAAGAATCAATGCCAATATTTAGTTCACGAATAAAGAGTTGGTTGGTTTTAATGCAAGAAGAATCAATGCCAATATTTAGTTCACGAATAAAGAGATTAATGATCTTACAATTAGTTTAAGTTAAAGACGACATAATTCGAGAAATACATATTCACAGTGATTGAGATACAAATTGAAGTACGGTAATATTTCAGGTAATTGTATCATTTCTATCTCTAATTGGAATTATCCATTAATTTAATTAAAACTTCTGACAGGAACAAAATTAAATGCGTCAGAATACGCAGATACATTCGTTTACTGACGCCCATCAAATAATTAAATCAAAACAGGATATTCTGATAAAAATTAAACAAATCGTTGTACACTTTTCATCGGCTCACTCTGCATAAATGTATTTTTGCAAGAATCGATCGTTCTGAGAAATAGGCCATAGGAACGTGGCGAGGGTAAAAAAAATTGCATTAATCTAGCGGACGTTCGCCATGAAACGTGGGTGGTAAACTGGCGAAAGTTTCGCGCGTTTCGCCGCGCCGACGGCGATCGTAAATATCGTTTATTAAACGACGGCAACGTGTTAAAATTTCCGAGCGCTTTACAACGGGAAACGGTGTGAAACGCGACGCGAAAATTATGTAATAGCGGAGATCAATTCGTTTCGGTTCTCGCGTGTCACGTCGCCGCGATCCTTTCCGCTTTATCGTCCGTGATTTTCCATAAAACTCGTACACCTTCGGAAAAATGTGACGCCGGAGTCGAACAATTTTATTCACAAATTATTCGCATTTTCCTAAACAACAGTGGAGCCATGGATTTTATTGTACACTGGGAGACGTCATTAATTATAATAAATATAAGTTTAACGATTTTTTACGAGCTGCATGATATACGTTCGTCTCTTAAAAACTTATTGACAAGGGATTGTACGTCGCATAGTCAATCAGGCGAACAGGGTACGAGGAGTCGATAGTAACCCACGCGGAATTAAGCCTAACAACAACCGTCTCTGGTTGAAACCCCTGCTGGGCGTGAAAAGGTGTTAAAACGCGGAGGAAGATAGGGTCGACGAATGGTTAACAGTTGTACGCGCCCACCGCGTTACGTCACTTCCTTCGCCAGTTTTAAGCGAGCGAAGTCAGAAGAGCGTCTCAGACAGGGATTAGGCGTTCGCGGGGTTTCTATAAATAATGCAACGTTTAACCTCTCTCGCTCGAGGGATCGGTCTTGGTCCCCCTTACCCTGGCCCCATCGAGACTCCTGTCTCCGGAACGACGTTTTAAAGTCGCCATGCAAATCATCGAACACGGGTACCTCGTGGATTAGCGAGGAATCAGCCATTTCCCGGGTGAATTTAGACACGATACAATTATTTGTTCAGGTGCCTTACGGGTTCGAATTTTAGAACTGATTCTCTACTACGATATTTAATTATGATTAAAATGCCAGTCGCTAATAAGCTAAATAAAATGAGAATGATAGAATCATTAAGGCCAATTGTAAATGGTCACTGTAAGTTGAAAAGCGAACGGATATAACGAGGCAGGGATGAAGGGATGAATTTGTTTCTCGCAGTGATTTATGAACGTGATTGCGTGATTATGCTGTGCTGAGATTGATGGTTTCTTGGGACTTATTGTAAAAGATTGGATATAGGATCTCGTTAGTTAATAGCATTTGTTCTTACGTTATTCTGTTTTCTAATAATTCATGCTAAATGGCACATGATTTTGTCGTTTCATTCTCCATGTATCATAGAATCATGAATTCTCACGAAATTCGAGGGTGCACAGAAGCATTCTAAAAGGTATTGAATGTTACACTTCTCCAAGCCATTAAATTACAAAAATTCGACATGACTTCTCATCGAGAGATAAATGCACTGCCTATTGCATAAATGCGCATAAATCTCGTGAAACGCAATATCTCGGGACAATACATATGTAGTCCACGGGCAATAAAGATAATAATCTGAATATGCACCCCGGGGATCGCGTTTACCGTCCGATATACCCGGGAAGAAGTTGATCCAGCGGGATCTTTCGTGTCGCGACAACGCCGATGTCTGGCGTCATCTCGGTCCACCCACCCTCTCGAGGAAACCCTCCTGTGCAGAGGAGGAATGGGTTACTACACGGTACCGGGAATCGGGCCGTGCATCAATATTAATGGAGGCGCGTGGCGCGTTCGGGAATAATGTAACTGGCTGAAAGTCGGCGAGCCGTGTGTACGCGCGATATCGTAACCATAATGTTCTCGCTTCGAATCGGTTACGACACGTAATTTCAATCACGTTTGCCGCATTACCGCCGTCGTTACACGCCCGTGCAAATCGAACCCGCGTGTACGTATATACAAGGGACCGTTTGACACCACGCGTCGTTGCTTATGGCAATCAAGACGGGAGATTGGAAATCTTCTACACGATTAGAATTTCAATATTTTTCTAAATACACGTAAAGTGTATTTTAGTAATGTAGTTTGTATAGAATATAGATTCCCAGAAACATTCGGTGTGAAAATAATTGAAAAAACCGTTTCCACGACTGCCTAGCGAGGTGACTTTCATTTCCGAAATTCGTAAAGGAAGATAAGATTCCCCGAAGACGCGGCTCGATTGGCCCTATCGACAGGCACCCGTCCGAATTAGCTTGTCTGAAACGTAGAAGAGAGAATTCAAATTTAATCACGCCCACACAGAATCGCGTCCGCAGTTCCACGAGGCGCGACGCGACGCACGGGAAGTAGCATTATTAGCTTTCCAATCGAACCAATCGAGCCGCTTCCTTATTAAGCCCCGCGGCATCCCTTTTCCATCATACAGACCCGTGAAATCCTCCCTTCCATCCTTTGCGATCCCCGTTCCCCTTCGTCCTGCTCCTTCGCATCCCTTTTTTAATTCCACATCTACATTTCCGATGGAGAATTTTACTCCTACCATCCACGCTTCTCTATCTGTTCTCGAACGGTAATTCTGATTGAAGTATTCCTCGATTTCACGTCGGGGGTATGGACGATGCTTGAATTTATGGGCAGCTGTCGGAGCCAGTGGCCCAATTTTGATATATGCCTTCTGTAGGATTATATTACTCGATACGTGAATTACAATAAGAATCATTTTCTAAAGATTCTAATTATTCTCTGTGAATTTTAATGCAATACGTACACGTGTGAATGGGTGCAATTTTCCAACATTATCAGTCGATTAAATAAAATCAAAAAAGAATTTCGTAACGTACCCATTGGTCGTGGCATCGAACACGTCGTTGTAGTCTTCATCAGTACTATAATCTTGAACATCTGGATCTAGAACCTCGACGTCGCCATTCCCACCTAGAAACAATCGTTTACAGCCTATGAATTACAGAATGAAGTAACAAAGGAGCTTCGAGATAATGTTGAATGTATAAATAGAATTCAGAGTTCTCCATAAATCACAATAGATTTTCATGCTTCACCCTCGACGTCGTTTATATGATACCACAATTATATCTGATATCGCCTAACTGTTTTAATACAATTGGAAGCAATCATCGTTTTCCAGCACAGTCGAAGTTAATTCCGTTGTCGGTAGGATTTGAAAATCGAGCAACGAGAGATGGAATGCTCGTAGCCGCAAGCATGCCACGCGCACTCGTCCGCGTCTCAAGTTATCCAACTGCCTAACAATGGAAGCAACTATAATACACGCTCGCCGGAACAAGCGTCGGCGTTCGATGTTTCGTACACCTGCGCAAATACACGACATCAGAGCCCGTCCCTCGAAGGGCCACGGTCGTCCGATACGCGGCCACCCGCGTTTCACGCAATTTGCCCCGCGATTTCGAAACGCGATCGGCCTGGCTTCTTCCGTCCTGGCAGCTTCACGTCAGTTCCACCCGGGCTAACTATATCAGCTATCCGATACTCTGCATGATAATGAGCTCTACGTACAACGTTCACGCGGTGACGTGACGTTCGATGCTCCGCTGGCTAGCTCAGACGAGGGTCAATGGAATTATTAATTAATTAGCATACCCGTCGGCAGATTTCCAAACATTTTTAATCCTCCGTTCTACTAAATCACGTTCATCTATAAGCTCGATTGCAATGCGATTGACAAGTTATTTTCTATACCATTTGATAAGTAGAAGTTATTTTATCAAAATCCAGAACAGTGATATGACCCCTGACAAATTCGTACATGATCATTTCTTAGTAACCTCGTAATCGGCGACCCGGAACTTACACAGTGGCTTAAAGGGCCAGAGAATAATCTGGATTATAATGTAATTTATTGCGGAACGATCCGTATCATCCCGTATAATCTGTGACACCCCGCGGTCACGTCACGATCCCTGATGTATAGTCATAGTCCGCAATAATCTACGTTAGCCCGTAATTTAAGCTCGCACGTTACGGTCTTACGAATCAATACGATCGACGCGTTACAGCTATTTAAATTTCTTCTATCCGTACAAATAAAACAGGAGCGGCCGTTCCGAAATTCTATAGCGAGACCCTAATTAACGTTGGCAACGGTGCCCGCTCGTTAATCCACTAATGAGTAATTCGCCACGGGGGCTTTAATATAGATTGGAACCGGAGAATCCAGAGCCTGTAGCCAGGCGCCAGGCCAAGCTATTAAATAATCGAGCGAATTATATACCCTCCTCCCTAGCCTGACAACCTACCCTGCCACGTCAGCCGATCAGGTGCCAAGTGCAAATTTAAACTTGCAGCCGCCCTACGGCGTCATAAGACTCGCCTGTGGAGATCCTCATTACAAATAGATCGTAAATTAAAATATCCATCGTATTAATTCTTACTATCAGCTTTATATTTCAATAGACTCCTTTCTATATTCTGCATACACCCAGTGTGATTATTATTGTTAATTTTCTACGCTGATAATCAGTTTTCATAAAAAGAGATCAACCCTTTGTAGAAACGTTCGAGCAGGTAAAAAGTAGAAAAAAAAATTGGAACACTGAGTTCATGCAATTTTCCCTAGGAGACAGGGGTAGCTCATAAAAAGCAGACACCCCGCGTGATAGTAGGGGGTTAAAAAAAACGCGTACGATTCCCCGGAGTGCACGGTGGAAATGGTGTGCGCGGGTAACACGCGTATCCAGCTCGGGGAGAGGGCCAATAAAATCGAACGCCATTGCGACCCCCTCGCGTTCCTTTTTGTTTGTTATTTATTCTTGTTTCTCTCGTTCCATCCCGCGGTGCTATCTACCTTCGTTCCTGTTCAGTTTTTGTTCCCACGTAAAAGGTGCTGCGCGATTATTTTCGGCGAATTAAACGAGCCACGCCGCCGCCGCGGGTCGAGCGACGGCCCGGGAGTATTGTTGAACGGCGACGAAATGAGGATTTAATTTTATGAAAATAGTGTTTTGCTTTTTGTTCGGTAACTCCGGCCGTGCGTTACGCGTGACCGTAAATTGTAATCAGAGACGGGTATCGAATTTTCGTCGGAGCTTGTCAAATTGGGAAACGGGAATGGTACAATAAGTACATCCGAAATTTTCGAGAAATTAATTACGCGGCGAGCGGGACTTCGGTTCGACCGAATATAAATAATTGTACATATTGTCGTATAGGTAAATCATTATCCCGCGGCCGTCTCGCTTAAAATAATTACATTTTTAATAACGTCGATAATAATCGTTAATGCAACGGTTTACCGCGTTTCTTCATGAGTCACCGGACGTGTTGTTTTAAGGACATCCATAAATAGATCAGTTGAAATAATTAGTATATAAAATATTCAAACCTGAAGTCATCTATGTAAATTGTATTTTATAAATCAATTTGTTTTATTTTGCACCGAAATCTGCAGTCTAGATGTCAGACATCGTTCATTTGTTTCGCAGTACTAAATACAATTGCGAAATTGAAGGGACTATTTAATTTCGTTGGTAAAAGAAGGATTAAAAACGACGAAAAAATCGAGAGCGTTAATTTATGTAGGAAAAAGAGTTAAACCGTCTGTTGCGTACATAAAATCGCTTAACATTCTCTATTTGCGATTTAAACAAACTGGACAGAGTTTTAAAGCCCAATCATGTATACCGAGCACTTCAAAGAGCCCTGTCGACGCGAACATACTACGTTACATCGCTACGTTTTTATTTATTCGTCGCTGCGAGCTGGTTACATTTTCCCCCTTCGATTCCCTCGCCCCTCGTTTTCTTCGTTCGTTCAGAATTTCATTCCCGGTCGGCACGCGGTCGGCATTTAAAATGGCCAAAAAATACCTGAAATTCGTTTCCCAGGTCGATGACATCGATGGACAACAGTTCTCTCTGTCTACGAGGTGTTCCTATAATTTTATTCAATTGCGATTGTCAATTTGCAAGGAAAATTCACGTGTCATGAATTTCGTCAAATTATTAACTTGCCAACAGACTTCAATAATAGGTATTAAAATATTTGTATTAATCAGAAGTTTCTATTTTAAATCTCTCTAACGAATTAAGGATTCCATTTATCCCAATGAGTCTAAACCGCCTGATTCTCCGATGGTGGACGAAACTCAAACAGGGTTAAACGGCGCGGAACCGAAGAAACCCGGGGAAATTGGTCGTGACAGAGAGGGAAAACAGGCGAAGAGGTCCGTGGAACGTTTCAGAAAGCGGTTGTCGCGAACAAGCATGAACTTTCGCCAACAGGTCCACTGTTGCGGCTTCCTTCACCCGTCGCATCTACGTAGTTCAACCTACGGAGAGGACAAGAGGTCTCTCCTCTTCTAATTGGCAAGTAGAACTTCCACGACGCCAATTGCAACCGGCGGCGACCTGAAAAATTCGCTAACTTCCACGATACGGGCCCTCGCCTCTTCCTTTTCCGTGCGGCGTAGATCGTCCGCGTTGATCCTCGGGTTTGGACCTCGTCCAGGTCGTGAGCGTCGCTTCGTTTGAAAGTTTCTTGCAAATAAACACGATGCCTTTGTGATGTTTTTATGTTCGGTGGCAAATTTGATACTTTTGAGATGAATTCTTGCTGGGCATTGATGATGGATCTTAGGGAAACTAAAATTCATTTATTCACTGATAGGATATATTTTTATGATCGATCATTAACATTCAATAATGGATTTCATGCTTCAGTCCATTCTGTTAAAATTATTTTTTAAGCTTTTGTACTTTGGAAACGTAGAACTCAGGAAAGAAGTCCGCCAGGGAATGAAAATTTCAGAAACCTGAGTATCGACGGGTGGAGAAAAAAACGAATTGAAACCCCGTGAGGGTGCGTAATCTTCGCTCAGCCGGATGATGGTCGTCGAACTGGTTCGACTAGAACGGCGAGATCCCCGCGAAAAAGCGGGGAGCGCGACTGGAATAAATAACGGGACGGAATAATAAATGCTGGCGTGGATTTAAACCACTTTTAAAGTCTACCACGACGTTTCCACTCGTAATACGAATCGTCTGAATCTCGTACCATCGCGTGTTATGATGAACCGGCAAGCGTTACATTGTACCTACATAAACCATCTAATAAATTGCACAGACATAATAAATTTAACCAGTCTTCATTTTTCATTGAAATTATACTTAGTCTTTCATTTGAAGCAAATACAGTTCTATTGAATATTGAAACTGTTCATGATTTATTATATGATTATTGTTCTGCATGTCTACTAATAGTAAGATTTATGAACGGGAATACGCATATACGATTTTGGTACGCAATGACGATAACAGGGCTGAAAGTGGTACGCGCGAGCAGGCTGCACAGGCAGAAATGAAATTTCTTCGCGGTTCCAACAACGAGCCGGCACCGGTGCCACCATCCACCAGGTGGATGTTGCAATTTTAGCTGGCGTTTTTCGGCGACGGCTGGAGTTATTGCTGTTATTACGGTTTCTTTGAGCGTTCAGAATGGAGACCGTGGAGTCAGCAAGATAACGTAATTGCTGAAATTGTTACTTTGCATGAGCTTTCGGATTAAATTGGTTTTGGCGAAGTACAGAAATTCGCGCAGAGAAATAATGCAATTTTCTAGTACGACGGTTCCGTTCGTCAATTAAAAAAATGCCTGCTTGTAAACAGATCACAGATGCAATTTGAACATCATTTATTAATACTCAAGCGGATCAATTGCGCACTTTGAATTTAAAAAATGCATTAAAATCCCTTGACCGTACCGTGGTAAAAAAAAACACGAAATTCCCATTTGCAACGTTACTTTGCGATGAAAAAAACAAAAACTAGCGCGCGATATCTGATGCTGACGCGCGAGACACTCGATCCATTTTCGATACATCAAACAATTAATATCCACCGCGCAAGGGAATCCGGCGGATGCGGAACGAATACAAATTGAAAAATGATAAAATCGAACCT